TGATGACAGAAAGAAATTGCCTGGAATCTCAATCTTAAACATGAGTGATAATAACGATCTCTTTATAACTAAAATCTTAACATTCCCAAAAATTAAATACTATGTTTGCAGTTCTTCTGCTCAAGAGCTAAGAGAAAACAGGAGTAACAGTTTTCCTTGAGGATTACTAACTGAGATAAACATTGAACAAAGGAACTTGTTAGCTTTCTGTTCTTGTCTGGAATCCCCAGAGCCTGCATCTACAGCTTTAACAGTTGCATAGCCATTTGCACCATCATACTTCCAGTGCCACCAATAACAGCATATGAACTCAGCTCCATCGTTCCGGTGCACCCCGAAAAATCGCAATCCATCCTTAAACTCACTATCAGCAAAAGTCGCTGCCATAGCCATCATATGACTAGTTCCATTTTCAGAACTAGCTACGTAAATCCCTTGCGCTTTTCCAAGAACTTGTGAACCTAAACTGAACGCTGAAACAAGTCCTCATCAATTGTCATGAGTGTGCCAAGTTCCATTCCTGGAAGTAGCTCTAGCTGGGAAAAACAGGCCCATTGTTGAAAACATCAAGTGTTTGAGTTTGTTGACAATCCGGTACCGGAACTGAGGGGTCCGATTGGGGCAAAGGGATCCCTCCTCAGGAGGGAAAAAGCCTAAGGGCTTTGGAAATGCAGCTGACTGGGGACTGTTGTAGTTGCAGGCTTGTGATGAGGGATGAGTGGCATTGAAATTGAGGACATTTTTCATGATGATGTGAACTTGAAATCTTTGTGATGATGGGTTGGAGTTGAGTTTCCCAGGTTCTTGCTGAGAATGATTTATTGATGATAGACATCAGTAAGAGCAACCAGGCTATGTAGATGGGAGCTTCGCCATTCAGGAATGGTTGCTTTCAGGTAACTTTTGTTCAATTATAAGTGAGAGAATTGGAGGTTTGGTTATGGTTTGGTGAGTGTGTTAGTATGTTTTGGTATCATCAATTATGTACTTCATGTTTTTTCTTATTATAACACTAATAATAGTGTATGAATTTATAATTTATCAAGTACATATATTTGCTTGGCATAAATTAATCTTAAGAGTTATTTATTTTATGTTAACAAAATTATCATAAATTTTAATAATATATAAATTTGTCATTTACAGCATTTGACTAACAATTGGACCATGTAATTCTATTACTAAAAGCAATATTTTTCTAGTTTAATTTTAATCCACCTATCTTTTTTCTCTCTTGGAAACCCTAATCCTTTTTTCTCAATAAATTTCACTTTTAACTCTTCAACTCAATCTATTCGGTTGATATAAAATTTAATATAATTTTTGTTTTTGAAAATAAGAAATATAACAAATTTAACCTGGGTTTGGTTGACAGTCAAAAGATTTCTTATTTCATTGAGTTTTTTTGGTTTCAACCTTAGGCTATTATCACATTATAACTTACCTAGTTCTATAGATTTGTAAGATATTCAATAAATCCCGATGATTAATTTCTAGGTTCGAACTTTGAGACCATCTACCACATTGTAACTTACCTAATTCTTTGGGTTTATAAAGCGTTTAATGAACCTTAAAGATTAATTAAGGTGCATGTAAGTTGGTTTAGATACCTTATCCCAAAAAAAAAAAAAAAAGCAACAAATTTATAAAAATGTTGGGTAGAAATGAATCAAATTTTTAAAAAATAACTTTGAATACAATTATAAAAATTAGTGTAAAATAAAAACGATTAAAAATCGTTTGCATATTTTCTGTAATTTTTAATCTTTTCATATTATATCCAAAACATTTTCAATATTAGAATAAAACTCCAATAATTTTATCATTTGTAAATCACAAATCAACCACGCCCCCCTTTTTAATTTGCATTTATACTACGATGAAATGTTAAGATAAGTAATTCCTGCAATTTTTTATAACATAACTAAAAACTAACCGACATTTCATGTTTTTTCTTTTATCCCTCTCCTCCCCCTCCTTTTCAAAACCCTAACCCCTCTTCTTCCCACTATTTTCTTCCGAAAACCCTAACCCTAGTCCTAACACCCATGTATCTCTACAGTCTCACTCTGCAACAATCCACCGGCATACTCTGCGCAATCAATGGCAACTTCTCGGGAACCAAAACCCCCGAAATCGTCGTCGCGCGTGGCAAAATCCTCGAGCTTCTCCGCCCCGAAAGTTCAGAAAAATCGAAAGTGTTCTCTCCACTGACATTTTCGGTGCCATTCGCTCCCTCGCTCAGTTCCGTCTCACCGGCTCTCAGAAGGACTACATCGTTGTCGGTCAGATTCGGGTCGGATCGTTTATCTTGAGTACAATCCTTCACGAAAGGTCTTCGATAAAGTCCACCAAAACTTTCGGTAAATCAGGTTGTCGCCGATCGTTCCGGGTCAGTATTTGGCTGTTGACCCAAAAGGTCGTGCCGTTATGATTGGTGCTTGTGAGAAGCGAAATTAGTTTATGTTTTGAATAGAGATACTGCTGCTAGATTAACTATTTCATCTCCATTAGAAGCTCATAATCTCACACTATTGTTTATTCTATATGTGGTGTTGATTGTGGATTCGATAACCATTTTCGCACAATTGAGTTGGATTACTCTGAGCTGACCAGGATTCAACTGGTCAAGCTGCGAGCGAGGCGCAAAAGCAATTGACATTTTATGAATTAGATTTAGGCTTAATCATGTGTCACAAAATGGTCTGAACCGGTTGATAATGGGGCGAATATGTTAGTTACAGTGCCTGGAGGAGGGGATGGGCCAAGTGGGGTTTTAGTTTGTGCTGAGAATTTGTGATTTAAAGAATCAGGTCATCCAGATGTTAGGGCTGTTATTCCTAGACGTCTTGATTTGCCAGCCGAACGTGGAGTTTTGATAGTTTCAGCTGCCACGCATAGGCAGAAATCATTGTTTTTCTTTTGCTGCAGACAGAGTATGGGGACATATTTAGGTTACTTTAGAACATGACAATGAGCATGTTAGTGAGTTGAAGATAAAGTATTTGATACTATTCCTGTGTCTGCGTCGATGTGTGTGCTGAAATCGGGGTATTTGTTTGCTGCTTCAGAGTTTGGCAACCATGCTTTGTATCAGTTTCAGGCAATTGGCTGACCCTGATGTGGAAGCCTCCTCGGCTACGTTGATGGAGACTGAAGAAGGATTTCAACCTGTGTTTTCCAGCCAGAGGGCTCAAGAATCTTGTTAGGATTGAGCAAGTTGAGAGTTTGATGCCAATTATGGATATGAAGTTTTCAAATTTGTTCGAGGGGAAGCACCTCAGATTTTTACTTTATGTGGGCGTGGTCCCGTTCATCACTTAGAATACTGAGGCCTGGTCTGGCTGTTAGTGAGATGGCTGTGTCTCAGCTTCCTGGTGTCCCGAGTGCTGTTTGGATGTGAAAAAGAATCTAAATGATGAATTTGATGCATTATCGTTGTTTCTTTTAACAATGCAACTCTTGTGCTTTCAATTGGTGAAACTGTTGAAGAGTTAGTGATGTGGGTTCCTTGATACACCCCTTCACTTGCTGTTTCTTTGATTGGTGATGATTCTCTATGCAATTCAATCCCCATCATCGACCAACGTTAGTGGATCAAGCTGAAAAAGTTCATATCGGCATACGAACGACTAGGGGAGTGTTTGTCTGAGCTTATGAAAATTAGCTTATAAGCAACAAGTGCTTATAAGCTAATTTTAGCTTATAAGCATTTGGAATTTTAAGCAATTACGTGTTTGGTTAAAGTATTTATAAGTGACTGATAAGTAGTTGACGTGTTTGGTAAAATGTGGTTTATAAGTACATTTTATTATAAAATGACTAAAAATTGTACTACATTAAACAAGGATATACTATGGAATTTTAAAATTAAACAAGGATAATATGGTAATATACTTGGTTAAACTAGCTTGTAAGCAGACTGTTTATAAGAAAAAAAAAAGTACCTTCCCCCCCAACTTATTATTATTATTATTTTTTTTTTTTTTTTTGGCTTATAAGCTTAACAAAGTTATAAACAGGTCAACTTAATTTTAGAGCTTATAAGCTAGTTTGACCAGCTTATAAGCTAGTTTGACCAGCTTATAAGCTTAGACAAACACCCCCTAGATCCAGTCGGTCATGCTTCATTTTGGCGACTATTGGCTATCATCTGACGGTGGTGACTAGTGGCTGGCTATCCTTTTGGGTGACTAGGATGCTTTAGTTAATTTTTAAATTTTTATTGTGAGGATGTTTAGATAAATTAACAAATGTAAAGGGTTTAAAAAAATCTAAAATAATAATAATTTAATAATATTAAAATAGAAGGATAATTTAGTAATTTATATAACTTACCCATCAATTTATTTTTCCAATCAAACATATAAATATAATATACCCACAAATTTATTTCAACCTAACCAAATACATTTTCCTAAATATTTCTAGTAATCTTTAAAGTAATCAATATTTCACTTAATATAACATTCCCAATAATACAATATTTTCTTAACCAAATGCACTCTAAGTTTGCTGAATACCAGATAAGCACCCTCAAGTACTGTAATTACGCTCAACCTCTACTAGAGTTTTTATCATAGTTTTAACCAAATCGGTTTAAATGACTTTAATGCCCTCACCTATCGCACCATCAATCCTAAATATTTTTAAATACACAAAGTTCTCCAAACTATCTTATGAGAAAACAATTTTTTTTTTTTTGTTTTTATTTATTAAGCAAAATTATTGCAATTACCATTGTTTTTCACATTGGTTATGAATCCAACCCGGAAGTCACTCAAATTTTTTTTTTTTTTTTTAAATTTGTTCCAAGGTTCTATAAATTTAATTGTTCCGAAGTTCAATAAATATAGTGGGTCTGAGATTTTTCTTTTTTCAATGAATACTCGCATCTTCTACTTTCTTTTATCATAAGGTATCCCGAATCCCTGAATAAAAATGCCAAAATAATCAATTGCAAATTAGTGAAAATGAAAACCAAGTAGTTTATAATCACAGTTAAAAAGGTAACAACTAACAAGAGGACTCCAACTTTAACCCATAAAGGACTTCAACCTTATATAAATTAATTACAACAGGATTGATATAACAAGACTTCTGATCAATAATCACTCAATTTCAGATAATTTAAACTGCAACACACATAATCACAATAACAAACACATTACTCAGTAAGGTAAACACTAAACTTCACAATCGTATCAACACCGTCCGTTGTATGCTGATCTTCTTGATGAATTGTTTCAACCGTCGCATACCCTTTTGCATTCTCATACTTTCCAGTCCCACCAACCACCGCAACCTGTGATTCATGCGACGCTGTTCGATGCACCCCGAAGAAACTAATGGTATCCTCATATTCGTGATTATGTTCACCACCGTGCAACAATGCGGTCAACGCAATGGTTTGACTAGTGCCATCCAAAGAGCTGGCTAAGTAAAACCCTTGTGCTCTGCCAACTACACCTGACCCCAGCTCGTGCCCTTCGGTTAGTTCATCGTCAATCACGGTCACCGTACCGAACATCAACTTTTGAAGGGAGGATCCCGGAGGGAGCTGCCCGGCGGAGACAAAAGGCTGGTTGTCGTCACTGTTGAAAACGTTGTTGTTGGCGGTGTTTTGTAAAACAGTGTTCGGTTGCGCTCCGTTTAGGCCGGTTAAGAAAGGAACATTGTTTTGGTTTATAATGTCGTTAAGGTTGTTTGGGTTCAAAAGTGGGGTCGCACCGTTGACTGGGAAGATGTTGCTGTTTGCCTTGGAGAAAGGTATGCCGTTGATTTCTGTTTGGGCAATGATCCCGGTTACCACTCTGGATGATGGGTGGGATCCACCTAGGATATCATGCATGAAGAAGGACAAAGGTGCGGTTTCTGTGCCAGGATTTGCCACCGTGGCACTAGTGGTAGTAGGACCTGATGTTGCTGCCACGTTATCAACAGGTGTTGTTGTAGTGACAGGTGGCGTAACTACAGTGGGGGCTTCAGCTTCTTCCGGAAGTGGTGGGTCAGCGTCATCGTCATCTTCCTCCGGCATGGCGGCGGGGGCGGTGCCAGGAAATTGGCCACCAGGCAGAGTGGTGGGAGGAACAGTTGTTGCAACAGGAGTGGATTGTAGGGGTGTGTCATCAATGACTGGGGGTTGTGGATCCACTTCATCAAGGATTCTTGCTGAGTGGACACATTTCAGAGTGATGACAAGGAAAAGGAAGCAGATTGTTGCCTTGAGTGACTTGGAGTTGAATAGGAGAGCTTTAGCCATTGAGTTCAGAGGAAGAGTAAGGCTTGATGGAGAAGGAAGTGAATTTGTGATGTATATATAGTTTCAGGAGTCTTTGAGTGAAGAAGTGGAGCTGTTGCATTGCTGGTTATGTAGTGTTGTGTTTTAGTTGAAAAAACCTACTCCCTACATGATGAAGTTGTTGGCTGCAAACTAAATTCTATCAGCGGTTTGTTTATTCTTGTACTGAACATTCTTTAATTGGTTTGGTTGTTTCTGAAATCAAGATTATAGCGAAACTCTACTGATAACTGTTACTAGAATTTAGAATGACTTGATTTGCTTCTGCAATTTTGAGATTCAATAGAAACTTGACAAATCACGTTAATTTAAAGAATAGTTATTTTTGTCACTCTTGAATTTGAGATCAGTTTCTTCCTGAACACTTGAAAAATATTCTCACCTAACCCCAAGGGTTAATTTCAAATTATTTCATTATATTCTGCCTAACCTTAGCTTCAGTCCCGAAATAGGTGCAGTGGGGCGGAGGGGAGCGGGCACAATGTTCTCTATCGGGTATGGGGTCAACCCCTCTTCATACACGTTTTGTTTCAGACAAAAAATAAAAAAAAAAAAAAAAAGGGCGGAGGGGAGCGGGCACAATGTTCTCTATCGGGTATGGGGTCAACCCCTCTTCATACACGTTTTGTTTCAGACAAAAAATAAAAAAAAAAAAAAAAAGTACATTCATGGCATTTCAAATTATTTCATTATATTCTGCCTAGCCGAATCCCTTCATCTTATGCAAAAGATGATCATTTAAACAAATAGCTACTAATTCCTTCCAACACTCACGAACTCTAACGGTGACGGTTCAAATTTTCTTCAAATAATTTGACTAACTTAATATTGCAGCCTCTAAATTGTATCTGGGCTTCTCCATTGTTAAAATTACAAGAGCTGATCAGGGCAAATAATTTAAGATGGTGTAATACTCTTTTAAGTTTTTCCCATGAAAAAGATGTCAAGGTCATGTCCATTTAAGTACATCTGAGTTCTGTTTCACCTAAACTTCACAGATTAGGCTTTTCAGTATTATTTACTTGAATTGTCATTGATGGTGCAAAATTTTGAAAAACAAGGATTCTTTCAGAACAATACTGAATTCATTAAAGAATTGCTGTGATGACAGAAAGATAATTGCCTGGAATCTCAATCTTAAACATGAGTGATAATAACGATCTCTTTATAACTAAAATCTTAACATTCCCAAAAATTAAATACTATAGTTTGCAGTTCTTCTGCTCAAGAGCTAAGAGAAACAAGGAGTAATCAGTTTTCCTTGAGGGATTACTAACTGAGATAAACATTGAACAAAAGGAACTTGTTAGCTTTCTGTTCTTGTCTGGAATCCCCAGAGCCTGCATCTACAGCTTTAACAGTTGCATAGCCATTTGCACCATCATACTTTCCAGTGCCACCAATAACAGCAATATGAGACTCAGCTCCATCGTTCCGGTGCACCCCGAAAAATCGCAATCCATCCTTAAACTCACTATCAGCAAAAGTCGCTGCCATAGCCATCATATGACTAGTTCCATTTTCAGAACTAGCTACGTAAATCCCTTGCGCTTTTCCAAGAACTTGTGAACCATAAACTGAACGCTGAAACAAGTCCTCATCAATTGTCATGAGTGTGCCAAGTTCCAATTCCTGGAGAGTAGCTCTAGCTGGGAAAAACAGGCCCATGTTGGAAACATCAAGTGTTTGAGTTTGTGTTGACAATCCGGTGACCGGAACTGAGGGGTCCGATTGGGGCAAAGGGATCCCTCCATCAGGAGGGAAAAAGCCTAAGGGCTTTGGAAATGGCAGCTGACTGGTGACTGTTGTAGTTGCAGGCTTTGATGAGGGATGAGTGGCATTGAAATTGAGGACATTTTTCATGATGAATGTGAACTTGAAATGCTTGTGGTGATGATGGGTTGGAGTTGAGTTTCCCAGGTTTCTTGCTGAGAATGATTTATTGATGATAGACATCAGTAAGAGCAACCAGGCTATGGTAGATGGGAGCTTCGCCATTTTCAGGAATGGTTAGCTTTCAGGTAACTTTTGTTCAATTATAAGTGAGAGAATTGGAGGTTTGGTTATGGTTTTGGTGGAGTTGTTAGTATGTATTTGGTATCATCAATTATGTGACTTCATGTTTTTCTTATTATAACACTAATAATAGTGTATGAATTTATAATTTATCAAGTACATATATTTGCTTGGCATAAATTAATCTTAAGAGTTATTTATTTTATGTTAACAAAATTATCATAAATTTTAAATAATATATAAATTTGTCATTTAACAGCATTTGACTAACAATTGGACCATGTAATTCTATTACTAAAAGCAAATATTTGTTCTAGTTTAATTTTAATCCCACCTATCTTTTTCTCTCTTGGAAACCCTAATCCTTTTTTCTCAATAAATTTCACTTTTAACTCTTCAACTCAATCTATTCCGGTTGATATAAAATTTAAATATAATTTTTTGTTTTTGAAAATAAGAAATATAACAAATTTAACCTGGGTTTGGCTTGACAGTCAAAAAGATTTCTTATTTCATTGAGTTTTTTGGTTTCAACCTTAAGGCTATTTATCACATTATAACTTACCTAGTTCTATAGATTTGTAAGATATTCAATAAATCCCGATGATTAATTTTCTAGGTTCGAACTTTGAGACCATCTACCACATTGTAACTTACCTAATTCTTTGGGTTTATAAAGCGTTTAATGAACCTTAAAGATTAATTAAGGTGCATGTAAGTTGGTTTAGATACCTTATTACCAAAAAAAAAAAAAAAAAGCAACAAATTTTATAAAAATATGTTGGGTAGAAATGAATCAAATTGTTTTAAAAAAATAACTTTCGAATACAATTATAAAAATTAGTGTAAAATAAAAAACGATTAAAAATCGTTTGCATAATTTTCTGTAATTTTTAATCTTTTCATATTATATCCAAAACATTTTCAAATATTAGAAATAAAACTCCAATAATTTTATCATTTGTAAATCACAAATCAACCACGCCCTTTTTAATTTGCATTTATACTACGATGAAATGTTTTAAGATAACTAATTCCTGCAATTTTTTATAACATAACTAAAAACTAACCGACATTTCATGTTTTTTCTTTTATCCCTCTCCTCCCCCTCCTTTTCAAAACCCTAACCCCTCTTCTTCCCACTATTTTCTTCCGAAAACCCTAACCCTAGTCCTAACCACCATGTATCTCTACAGTCTCACTCTGCAACAATCCACCGGCATACTCTGCGCAATCAATGGCAACTTCTCGGGAACCAAAACCCCCGAAATCGTCGTCGCGCGTGGCAAAATCCTCGAGCTTCTCCGCCCCGAAAGTTCAGGAAAAATCGAAAGTGTTCTCTCCACTGACATTTTCGGTGCCATTCGCTCCCTCGCTCAGTTCCGTCTCACCGGCTCTCAGAAGGACTACATCGTTGTCGGGTCAGATTCGGGTCGGATCGTTATTCTTGAGTACAATCCTTCACGAAATGTCTTCGATAAAGTCCACCAAGAAACTTTCGGTAAATCAGGTTGTCGCCGGATCGTTCCGGGTCAGTATTTGGCTGTTGACCCAAAAGGTCGTGCCGTTATGATTGGTGCTTGTGAGAAGCAGAAATTAGTTTATGTTTTGAATAGAGATACTGCTGCTAGATTAACTATTTCATCTCCATTAGAAGCTCATAAATCTCACACTATTGTTTATTCTATATGTGGTGTTGATTGTGGATTCGATAATCCAATTTTCGCAGCAATTGAGTTGGATTACTCTGAGGCTGACCAGGATTCAACTGGTCAAGCTGCGAGCGAGGCGCAAAAGCAATTGACATTTTATGAATTAGATTTAGGGCTTAATCATGTGTCACGAAAATGGTCTGAACCGGTTGATAATGGGGCGAATATGTTAGTTACAGTGCCTGGAGGAGGGGATGGGCCAAGTGGGGTTTTAGTTTGTGCTGAGAATTTTGTGATTTATAAGAATCAGGGTCATCCAGATGTTAGGGCTGTTATTCCTAGACGTCTTGATTTGCCAGCCGAACGTGGAGTTTTGATAGTTTCAGCTGCCACACATAGGCAGAAATCGTTGTTTTTCTTTTTGTTGCAGACAGAGTATGGGGACATATTTAAGGTTACTTTAGAACATGACAATGAGCATGTTAGTGAGTTGAAGATAAAGTATTTTGATACTATTCCTGTGTCTGCGTCGATGTGTGTGCTGAAATCGGGGTATTTGTTTGCTGCTTCAGAGTTTGGCAACCATGCTTTGTATCAGTTTCAGGCAATTGGGGCTGACCCTGATGTGGAAGCCTCCTCGGCTACGTTGATGGAGACTGAAGAAGGATTTCAACCTGTGTTTTTCCAGCCTAGAGGGCTCAAGAATCTTGTTAGGATTGAGCAAGTTGAGAGTTTGATGCCAATTATGGATATGAAGATTTCAAATTTGTTCGAGGAGGAAGCACCTCAGATTTTTACTTTATGTGGGCGTGGTCCTCGTTCATCACTTAGGATACTGAGGCCTGGTCTGGCTGTTAGTGAGATGGCTGTGTCTCAGCTTCCTGGTGTCCCGAGTGCTGTTTGGACTGTGAAAAAGAATCTAAATGATGAATTTGATGCATATATCGTTGTTTCTTTTAACAATGCAACTCTTGTGCTTTCAATTGGTGAAACTGTTGAAGAAGTTAGTGATAGTGGGTTCCTTGATACAACCCCTTCACTTGCTGTTTCTTTGATTGGTGATGATTCTCTAATGCAAGTTCATCCCAGTGGCATTAGGCATATTAGGGAAGATGGGCGTATTAATGAGTGGAGAACACCTGGAAAGAGGACGATTGTTAAGGTTGGCTCCAATAGACTTCAAGTGGTTATTGCACTAAGTGGAGGGGAGCTAATTTATTTTGAGGTGGATATGACTGGACAACTGATGGAAGTGGAGAAGCATGAAATGTCTGGAGATGTGGCTTGTTTGGACATTGCTCCAGTTCCAGAAGGAAGGCAGAGGTCCCGATTTCTTGCAGTTGGTTCATATGACAACACAGTCCGTATCTTATCGTTGGATCCTGATGACTGCATGCAGATTCTTAGTGTCCAAAGTGTATCATCGCCTCCCGAATCTCTCCTTTTTCTTGAAGTTCAGGCATCAGTTGGTGGGGAGGATGGTGCTGATCACCCTGCTAGTCTTTTCCTCAATGCAGGTTTGCAGAACGGGGTTCTTTTTAGAACAGTGGTTGATATGGTGACTGGTCAGCTTTCAGATTCCCGTTCCAGGTTCTTGGGGCTGAGACCGCCAAAGCTCTTTTCTGTTGTTGTGGGAGGCCGTGCTGCAATGCTTTGTTTGTCTAGTCGACCCTGGCTTGGCTATATTCACCGAGGATGTTTCCTTTTAACACCTCTTTCCTATGAGACTCTTGAATATGCTGCTTCGTTTTCATCTGATCAGTGTGTGGAAGGTGTCGTTTCTGTTGCAGGGAATGCATTGAGGGTTTTTACTATTGAGAAACTTGGAGAAACGTTTAATGAAACTGCCATTCCCTTAAGGTATACCCCCAGAAAGTTTGTTCTTCAACCTAAGAGGAGATTGCTAGTAATTATTGAGAGTGATCAAGGAGCATTCACTGCAGAAGAGCGTGAAGCTGCAAAGAAGGAATGCTTTGAGGCCGCTGGAATGGGGGAAAATGGAAATGGTAATGTGGACCAGATGGAAAATGGTGATGATGAGAATAAAGATGATCCCCTCTCTGATGAGCAGTATGGTTATCCTAAGGCAGAGTCGGACAAATGGGTTTCTTGCATCAGAGTTCTTGACCCTCGTACAGGTAATACAACTTGTCTGCTGGAGCTTCAGGACAGTGAAGCTGCATTCAGTGTATGCACTGTCAATTTTCATGATAAGGAGTATGGAACCCTTTTAGCTGTTGGTACAGCAAAAGGACTGCAGTTTTGGCCCAAAAGAAGTATAGGTGCAGGATACATTCATATTTATCGGTTCTTGGAAGATGGGAAAAGCCTTGAACTTTTGCACAAGACACAAGTGGAAGGTGTTCCTCTTGCTTTATGCCAGTTTCAGGGAAGATTACTAGCTGGAATAGGAAATGTTCTCAGATTGTATGACTTGGGGAAGAAGAGGTTGCTTAGAAAATGTGAAAATAAGCTGTTCCCTAACTCTATCGTTTCTATTCATACCTATCGTGATCGAATCTATGTAGGTGATATTCAAGAGGTATGTTTTCTGAGTGAGATATATTTAGTTTTTCTATGTTTTTGTATATTGTTTTAATTTCTTTTCTCTGTTCATATATTTATGTGGAAGTGTGTGATGTTTTGATAAATTAATTAAAATTCTTGTTATTGAATTTGCTAAATGACTGCTTCTCATGTTGTCTGTCACCTGTAAAGTTTCTCATATATTTGGCGTTTTTTCTTGAGTTTTACTTTCTAATAGTTTGGAAAGTGGTCACATGTAAGCTGAATTATTCAGTGATTGTTTTATTTTAATTTTAATTATGTTTTTGCAGTCATTCCATTTCTGCAAGTATAGACGGGATGAAAATCAACTCTATATTTTTGCCGACGATTGTGTTCCAAGATGGGTTACAGCATCACACCATATAGATTTTGACACTGTGGCTGGTGCAGACAAGTTTGGGAATGTCTATTTTGTGCGACTGCCACAGGATGTTTCAGATGAGATAGAAGAAGATCCGACTGGTGGAAAGATTAAATGGGAACAGGGGAGACTCAATGGAGCTCCCAACAAAGTAGAGGAGATAGTACAGTTTCATGTTGGTGATGTGGTCACATCCATGCAGAAGGCATCTCTGGTTCCAGGTGGTGGAGAGTGCATCATTTATGGGACTGTTATGGGGAGCTTAGGAGCATTGCTTGCATTCACTTCCCGGGATGATGTTGACTTCTTTTCTCACCTGGAGATGCATATGAGGCAAGAACACCCACCATTGTGTGGACGGGATCACATGGCTTTTAGATCTGCATATTTCCCTGTGAAGGTAATAACATCTGTTCTCTAAAATGAGCTATTAAGAAATGACTTGTCTCAAAAGCCATTAGCAATTAAAATTGGTTTTAAACTTCATTATCCTTAATTTTTTTGTGTTCCCTCTTCTGTTTTCTTTTCTTTTGGGAGTGAGAATGAAGTAGTGTTGCATAAAAATTTCCACCGTTATTTCACTATCATGATAAATGTATATTGTAATCTAATCTTAATTTCATTAAGACCATTGCTTGTTCCAATTTCTGATGAGTACTCAATATTGGAAATGAGCAGAAAAAATTGAATGTCACCGTTATTTTGTTCATCATTAAGCCCCATATTGAATCATTAAAAGGAATACTGAATTTTGATTTGTTTCAATTTTGAATGAGTGGATTTTGGTGTATGTCTAAATGCCCATGAAGTGCATTTAGCTGTATGATGAACTAAACTAGAGTCTTAAAGGCCTAATTTGATTGTTCTAACTTTCTGGTTTGATAAGTTTAACAATGCTCTGATTATTTGAGACAATTTTGCAGGATGTGATTGATGGAGATCTATGTGAACAGTTCCCTACGCTGCCACTGGATTTGCAACGAAAAATTGCTGATGAATTGGATAGGACTCCTGGGGAGATCCTTAAGAAACTTGAAGAAATTAGAAACAGGATCGTTTGAGAAAGGAGCTGTTTGCTCGGACCTCGTTGTTGTTACCTCAGTTAATTTGTTGTATATATAGACAGGAGTGTGGAGATTTGCGGGAGTAGGATATTAGCTCTTAACGTTGGATAAATCTCAATGTTTTCTGTATGACTACCCTTTAATGAGTGCCAAACATTATTAATTTTCTCTTGAATTCTCTAAATACCCAATATTGTCTTTTCATTGATGATCCCGTACCGTATCTTCGTTTCAGGTTCAAATTTGACGCCGCATTCAATCGAATACGTGTTCTGTCGCAGCACTCACATCTTAAAGTTGGTATGAAATTGTTATAAGAACCACCAAATAAGAATCATACTTGAAACTAAAATCACTACGGTCGTTTCAGAATAAAGGGCTAATAATAATCTCTTCTACATTCTTGAATTTGCTATGGAACATCTTTTGTCTAACCAGCTGATAATGTCTTTGAATACAATGTCAATGTTCCTCTGTGGCTCTCCATAGAGCAAACCGTGCCACATTCCTGAGTACAGCTTCAGGGTCTTGTCTTTGCTTGAAGCAACTTTGTGCAGTTGGTCGCTCACATTTTTATCAGTCACCCTATCGTCTTCGCCGTGGAGAACCAGAAACGGTAGTGTCACCTGTAATAATTCAACCCACATAGATTAAGAATCCCTTTCATAATTTGTATAATGGATAGCACATTTGCATTATGTAAAGTGAGAAACCTCTTGCAGTCTCTTCTCAAGATCAGTGCTAACTCTCAGAAATTCGTAGGCAGTTTTCAGGAAAAGGGGCCCTTTGTAGCAATATTTATTTTCTCTAACCTGTTAAGATGGAACAGTTTGTAAGGACTTGTCTAGTTTGCCAACAAGACAAGGCGGAGAATAAACATCCGGGAGGATTGCTAGAGCCATTGCGGACTTCGAGAGACCTTAGGTGAGTATTAGCATGGACTTCATCACTACATTGCCAATTTCTGAGGGGTGTGGTTCGATTATTGTGGTGGTGGACTGATATTCTAAGTATGGAACCTTTATGATCACACCAAAACTATACACAGCCCGAAGACAACACTCGACTGTTTTTCAAGCATTGAAGTATTGGGGAATGTGCAATCCCTCATGTCAAAATTAATTTGGAAGATCCATTTCTAAACTTTCATGCTAAACCAATGCTACCTATTTAATGTAATTCCACCAAATCCTTGCCCAAGATTCAATACTTGAGAGATAAAAAGATTAAGATGAATGGTAAAATAACTGGGTAAGTTGAAAGTTTGAAAGAAAACTACGAGAAACCCAACATTATAACATTTGAAGATTTGGAGGCTAGCCATATGTTAGGATTCATAGTAATGACAAAGAAGAAAAAAAGGGTACAAAAATTAAATATACACCTGCTGTCTTACTTGAGGCTCTTTAAAAGCAATATTGATAATATCTTTATTTTGGTTAATCTTCCATTGCGGAATCAACTTGCAAACCATAATTAAAATAGAGATTATCAAAGGATGTGGCTTCATTTTATCTGCAATCTGTATTAAACCAGAAAAAAAAAATACCATTAATAGTCCTGGAAATGCTCTTTACTTCTTGTTTTTACACTAAATTTTGATGCCAATTTGAGAACAATGAAATAAACAACACAACAAAGGGATCGTACTTTGCACATGGGGGCAACCAGGACTGCACCATTCCAAAAGTCTGGTTTCTTTCTGTGTAAGAGAAGAGCCATGGCTCCTCCCATTGACTCCCCTAACAAAAATCTCATTTTCCCTCTATTCTCTTCCCTCTCTGGCAATATGAATTTTGTGACATGTTTGATTAATGTATAGTTTATAATGAGATAATTAATTCAAGTTAGAACTTACCACATATTTCTGTAAAATGTTTAAAACAGTCTTCAATGAGATTATTAAAGTTATGGACGTAGCCTTGCCGACCACTTGATTTTCCGTGGCCTTCATAATCAATCCCATACACTGCAAATCCCGCCTTTACAAGTTGCATTGCAGTACCTAATTATATTTTTGCACACAAATTATATACAAAATGAAATTGTTAATGGGATTTTTTTTTCTTTTTCTTTTTTTTTTTGGATACATTTTGATGGTATATTAGAAGTAGAGGTACTGACTTTGCATAGTGATGCTGCATTCCATGGCATAACCATGGCAAATGAAGACCAGAGCTTTCGGTTTTTGACTCGCCGGAAGCCATCTGCATGTGAAAAGCTTCAGGCCTCGAGAATTCAAAATGAACTCCTGAAGAACCATTTCATTGGTAATTTTAAAAGATGGTAAATAATAATTTATTAATCAAGGCAAAATTTAAGAAATCTAAAAAAAATTATAAAAGTTTGAACACTATAAATTGGTCTAACCTCATCGTATTTGACATTGTCTGCCTACAAACATCAAATCAACCAAATGAGAAAGAACATAAAAATCAAACGAACGAAAGAATTAAAAAGGAAACAAAAAGAGAGAGATATACCATGAAGAAGAGTCTTCAGGATTCCAGTACTGAAGCCAATAATAGACTATTGTTTTCTGAAAATAAAATTCTGATTAGATTTACACAATTAAAATGTTAAGAAGTTTTATCTCTAGTCTTCTTCTTGTTGTTGAAGAGTTGATGAAAGTTCATAAATAGAAATGTCCAGCTAATGAAGAGAAAGATGCGCGACAGCATTGCTTTTCAGAAGCTCTATCTATATTGAAGAATATGGACTGCAAATTTTATTTTTACACATATTTAAGTGTGCATATATTTAGAAAAAATCTCAACTGTCACCCAATTTATAACGGAATGCCTTCAACATCCACCAAACTAAGATGAAAGCCAAAAATGGTTTGGATTTATCTAGATCCCGTTTTATATTCATTGTTACACTACAACAAACACAGCAAAAATGGGTAAGAAGAGATAATTAACACATTTTTTTATACCTTTTTGATGCTTTCCCATCTCAAACTTATCAAGAAGGTGCACAAGAAGCGGCCCATTTTATTCGCGCACATAAAACAATAAAATCAAGGAAAGGACCGAGCAAATGACATATTCCCACCCAAGGTTTAACGACATCTCAAGTTGATACCTCTAGTTATATTTATTACAGATTCTCACCTTTAAAGTAACGTTGTTTCCTTTATTTTAACAAATTCTCAACTTTTCACTTTAGCTCGACGTACATTAGCACACTAAAATGCATTGCCACTTTCTTTGGCAGAAGATGGGCTCATGTCAGCAGCTAGGGGTGTTCGATTCCAGGTACCCTACACTTTTAGAAGGAACCGGAACCGACGGTTCCTTGAAATTTGGAACCAGAACCGGAACCGATGGTTCCGGTTCCTAGGTACCCAGAACCAGAACCTGTAACAATGGTTCCGGTTCTGGTTCCGGTTCCGGTTCTGGTTCTGGGTATCCTGTAAAATTCATGATCCCCCAAAAGTTTTTAAAATGGCAAAAAGACCCTTAAAAACTTACAAATACCCCCCTACCTGGCACTTGTTAACAAAAATAAAATTACAAATAATAAATTCAAAATTATAAACTCTATTACTTTGTAAAGGTAGATTCTCAAAAGTCAAACCAACTTACTTTAAATGTTATGAAATATAAATATAAATGTATTCACATTACTTTTTCTATAAAAGTTTTTATTAACCCTCCTAATCTTTAATTTTATTTTATATTAGTCTTGGTTCCTGGTTCCTGGTTCCGGTTTCAAAATTTTGGAACCGGAACCTACCCATTGACGACTGGTTCTGGGTAGGAACCGGAACCAAACCCAGGGTACCCGCCGGTTCTGGTTCCAATCGGTTCTTTTGAACACCCCTATCAGCAGCATCCAAGCCTGTAGTTTTTGGCTTTTTTTCAACTGATTCAGAAGTCCAAAATCATTTCCAAGACTACTATTGGACTTCCCACAACCTTCTCTAGAAAACTTATATTTTCACTTGCTAGCCTCACTCATAATGTCACTCATAATGCTACCCCAATAGTCACTAATAATGTTAGTTTAAGAATAAGAATCTAGAATAAATGCAACTAGGAGTATCAACTTCAAAGTTTGCTAAACCTCGGGTGGGAATATGTGCATTTACTCTAAAGGACCAAACGTTAAGGAAGAGATGCAGAACATTAATTGAGGTCTATAATAAGATTTTTCATTATCTTCTTTCATCCATTAATGTCATTTCAATTGTGAATCACAAAGATGGACCACAGGTTTCATATAAACTAGATTTTGACAAAAGATTCAATTCTGTGTATGTCAATAAAATACTGAACAGAAGAAATGCTTCAGGAAGTAAACTGTTTTGATTAATACCAATTCTTGAAGATAATCTTTTCATAAAACTAATAATAATACAGTTATTGCATAGTTAACTAAAGATGCCAGGCCTGACCCCATCTCAAACTTTCAACACTTTATCCAAATCTCAAGCTAGCTTGGGGAGTTTGCCATATTCTTTGAGCCCTATAATGCCTTAATTTATCACATTTTATCTACAGAATAAACTTTTATACATTGTTTTTTAAATCATCATGAGCATGTTTAAGCTCCCTTTCCAGTCTTGAATTTCCCATGGAAACTTTCTCCTCTAACCAATGGATAATGTCTCTGAATACAATCTCGATATTTTCCAAGGGCTCGCCGTAGAGCAGACCATGCCACATCCCCGGATAAAGCTTTAACGTCTTGTCCGCGCTGGATGCTACGTTATAAAGTTGCTTGCTAACGCCTGGATCGGTCACTCTGTCATCTTCTCCGTGCAGAACCATGAATGGTAATGCAACCTGCACGTAATTCACCAGAAATAAGTCAACATTTCTAATTGTATACTGTATGAACCAGAGATTGATTAGAAAGAGTATGAAAACCTCTTGAAGATTCTGCTCGAGATCTATGCAGACCCTGAGAAGTTCTTGACCAGTTTTCAACCGCGGACGCCCTTTGTAACAGTATTGATTTGCTCTAACCTGTAGGTTAAGATTATTACTAAACAGAGTCAAATTCCATTATACAAGAAAGAATGAAGCGTTAATTCATTCTGCAAACCTTATTCCAGAGAGTATTATTATACCTTTTCTCTAACCTCAGGCATTTTAAATGCAACATCAACTATATCTTGAGTTGGGATAATTTTCCATGTTGGGATTATCTTGCAAAGCTGGTTGAGAACGCTGATAACAACAGGATGTGGCTTCAATTCATCAGCAATCTGCAATTACATTTTGGCAATGCATTAAAATCAAGAAGTCCCCTTTTTTTCCCCGGATTCATTTTATTCATTTGTTCACAACACAATCAAATCTGGATCAACATAAGGGTAGATTTTTTAAACGTCCACTATAAAAGTCAGCTATGATATGAATTATGAACATCAGCAAAAAGAAAGTTGACTATTATTTTACTCTAGTTGAATATAAAAATAAAGATGGTGACAGAACATAATAATAATTAAATGAAAACGACGAAGACAGAGACATTTAACCAATCTGTATAAGAGTTGAAACATTTGCCTAACAACTCTCAAGTAAAATTGTCCATTTTTATAAAGTCTGAAAAATATCACTTTCCCATCTACCATTCAACTAATGAAGCCAAATAATTGAGGACCAAAATTGCAGTTTTTTCTAACTGGGTGATTCTCTTTTATTCTATAAAATTTAGTATTTTTTTTTTCCACTCTACCGAATCAATAATATATGTTAATGAAAAGTTTGATGTATAAAACAAGGATAACATACTGTATCCAATTTTGCAGGACCATACAATTACTAATCAAAAGAATAGGTACAAAAGAGACAGATGATGGTTCAGAGAGAAGAGACAGATCACATGACATAGCTCATTACCTTACACATTGGCGCCACCAAGATAGCACCATCCCAATAATCTCCTTTCTTTCTGTGTAAAAGAAGAGCCATGGATCCTCCCATGGATTCCCCCAACAAATATCTCATCTTCCCTTTGTTCTCTTTCCTCTCTGAAATCGTAATATTTCAGAAAATTAATTCAACCCCACATAATATATGAGAAAATTAAACTGGATTGAATAGAAAAAAATGGAATCTAACCACATATGTTAGTAAAATGGGTTGAGCAATCATCAACCAGATCGTCGAAGTTAGTGATATAAGCTTCCAACCCATCTGATTTTCCATGGCCTTGATAATCTATTCCATAACAAGCGAAACCTGCGTTTGCCAGCCGAGTTGCAGTGCCTGGAATTGATAATAAACACTTTTTAATTAGCCTTCAACTATGATGAAATAATTAGCTTGAAGTATATAGTAATTATACTGACTGTTCATGGTGATGCTGCACTCCATAGCGTAGCCATGGCAGATGAAGATTAAAGCTTTGGGTTCTTGATTAAAAGGAACCCAACTACACGTAAACAGTTTCATTCCTCGACCATTCAAAACATACTCCTGTAAAATTCATCCAAAAATTAGTCAAAACAAAACAAAAACAAACAGATTGTAGTTAAAACAATCAAAAATCTCACTATTCACCAACCTCATCGTACTTTATATCACCAATTTCACGAGCCTGTTATCGTTTAAAAAAAAACCAACATCAGAAACCAAAATTAACGAACAAAAACAACAAGACAATAAGAGAAAAAAGAGAAACAAACCATGAAGAAACGTTCTTCTTGAGAAAGAAAAGAAAGGTTTACAGAGGGTTTGGCGAGAAAGTTAGAACAGAAGGAAAGGAAAGACAGTGACCGTAATTTGAAAATTCCGTTAGTGCATGGATTTACGAAAGAACAAGTTCAAGACGTAGATACAAAGAAAGAAGAAAGGTAAAAGGTCATTTATATATAGTTATATACAACACCAATCACCCTAAATATAAAGTAATTAACTTGTAATTCAAGTTCATGGTTCATTAAATAAATTTGACAGATGAGATCAAATTATAATAATAGAATAAGTTATATTTTATTTTATACAGTTAACAGTTTGTAATGTTCAAAGAATGTGACAAGAGCGGGAGTAAGTTTATCTTATATAATAATCCTATTATTAGTAATTAATTAATTTTTGTTACGTCATAATCAGGTTGATTAGTTAATTAATTAACTGTTATATACAACTTGTGTAAGTGGACTTTGAATAGGCCCAACTGTATTAATGGCTCTTTCAATTTTCAACTGGGTCATTGAATTATATTTTAATAAATCTAATTTTAAATTGAAAAAAAAAATCTTAAAATCTGAGTATAATTAAACAATGAGATTTGATGATTAATTTTTAAAAAATAATTAAGTAATTATTCAGAGAAGTGTTGACTGTACTGGTATCATCTTAAGGAATTAATTAAATATTTATAAATTGAAATTACATGTAAATAAGTAGTGATGAGATAAATAGTTAAACGGCTGTTGGGAGCGCGTACAAGTTCAAAAAAAGTACAGAGAGAGAGAGAGAGAGAGTGGGAGACGGCAGGTTTGACCTTATACAATTCACCACGTTTATGTCACTGTTGCACGCTTCAGCTCGGATGCTTCGAGAAAATAATATTATAATCCTAATTCCTAAATATTATTACTATAAATTTATCCTAAAATTATAAATATTTAAAATAGATTTAATAATTAATTTGTGGGCAGTGGGCAGTGGAAAAGCAATCACATTTTTCATATTTAAAAGGCTAAATTGGAAAATGTAAAAGCGCTAATTATTTCTGATAAGTTTCAGAACTTCTAAGCATAAATGTCCATTTGTAAAAGCGATAAATTTTGATTGGATTTTTGAGATAAGGATCCCTGATTGATTCCAGATTCTGTGGCCCTGATCAAATTATCTGGCTTGTCTTGATCGATAATTTCATATTTACCCAATTTGACTGCAGGCCCTGCATCAATTGAGTGGACCTTCATGTTTGGTTCCTTCTCCAGTTTTTGTCTACAATTATTTGTGTTTTATCAGTAAAATTTTCCCACTAAATGACATGGAGAGAGACCCTTTTTATTTATTTATTTTTCAATTAATATAATGTTCTTATTTTGAATTGGAAAAAAAAAAAAAAAAAGAGAGAGAGAAAAAAATGAAAGGGAAAGGTCATATGTATATAAAGGAAAGTCAATATAGATGTCACATGTCTTCCTTCAAAGCAACAAGTGACATATATATAGTTGGGTTTATTTAATTTCCAAGTGTTACCACTTGTGCATGATGAAAGAAGCATTCATGGGTTTGTATTTCTTTGAATTCCATTTCATTTTTAAATATTTTGACTTTCTTTGCACCTAAAACTTCTCATTTGTCTAATTTATAAAGTGGGCTTTTATGTAGGGTTATCTCTGGCCTCCCCGGAGGTTTCAAAACAGGGAGATTGCTGCAAATGTCAAATGAGGGAATCAAATAAGACAATGAAATGCAAAAGCAAAAGCAAAAGCAAAACTTATTTCTTCTTTATCCCCGATAAAGTAACTAGAAAACACATCTCTTATCTATCAATCCAATCCCCAGATAACAAATTCCTAGCCGTTTTATGAGGGTACAACTGTGTTGTGCCAAAAATACACACTAATGTCAGTATCACTAATCAAAATTCAATAAACACTTAAAGATAAGGTGGTATTAGCTGTCAAAAACTCAAACCGCCTCTAAAAGATATTTTATATCAATCCTATCTCATTTTAAAATAAGGATTAAGGAACATGGTTGTTAGTATCCTACGATAAGCGATACGTATCATATGATACGATTCGATATGGGTCGTCAACGATACGTATCAGAAAGTTTATCCTAAACAATTTGATACGTTGATATATATATCCTACGATACGATACGTATCTGTTTGTATCCTTAAAAATATCGGTACAAATCGATACGACTTTATTAATTTGGGCCAAAGGTCAAAAAAAAATTTCAGGCTGAATCCGGGTCACCCAACCCGGTTCACGATAACCTACCCAAATTTACCCATTATGCATAGAGAAAGTGAAAAGGAAGATCTGTTGCCCATTTTGCATGATAATAATAACATAAGTGGAGTTATAGATATTGACATTGATCTTGGAAATGATATGAATAGTTGAGAGGAAATGATATAAATTATTAATTTTGTGATTAATTTTGATTATGTAATACCATAATTTAAAGTCAATAATACTACAAAATTTGTTAATTAATCATGGGAATGATATTAATTTTTAGAAAAATCTTATTAATTTTTTTGAAAAAGGCGTATCCTACGATACGATACACGATTCGAAAAATTAGGTTTTCGATACACAACACGATACACGATTTGACAACCATGTTAAGGAGTGCTTCTCACGAATCAAGACAACTTCCAAAAGCACTCATTACATTGACCTCAAAGGTATAAATGGACACCTCTTTTCATGAAAAAGGGGTTGGTTATGCATATGAGAGCTAAACAAATATTTGAGCTTTATTATTTTTTCTCTGTAAACAAAACATTTCTCCATTTTTGTACGCCATACAAGCAATATCAGAAAAATAGTCATAGAATAATAAAATAAAAGTAGATGTAAGATTCGTTTTAAGCATCCAAAACACTATAAAAACCTCTCTTGTCAATCTTTTATTGATTTTTCATCAAACATATATAACCTCAGCACCATAAACTCTTCTCATGAATCATTTACATGTAATTTTTAAGAACAGCTTAGTATTTTGCACGTGCAAATCGTTGGTGTTAAAATCACGCATCAACAGTTTAACACTAGAGGAAGGGCATGATTCACATCAGCTCTCCATGTTTTTCCAGCAAACCTCAAAATCTTCACGTTATCATATGTGAAAATATGAGCCTGATAAAGTATTAATCTAGCAATGTGATAAGCACAATAGTTATAGCGCTTTCCGATGGTCCAAGAATCTTCCAAATCCAAGGTCTACAGCTCAAGTTATCGTCAAAATACTAAAGCATGTTTTGCATCAGAGCTCTCAGATTGCGTGACTAGATCGCAAATCACACGCATCAGAGCTCTCAAATCGCAAATCACAGCATCAGAGCTCTCAGATCGCGTGACCAAATCGCATATCGCACGCATCAGAGCTTTTAATCGCGTGGCCAGATCGCAGATCACATGCATCAGAGCTATCAGATCGCGTGGTCAAATCGTAGATCGCACGTATCAGAGCTCTTAAACCACTTGGTCAGATCGCAAATCTCAAGCATCAGAGCTCTCAGATTGTGCTTCCGAGCACGTAGATCGCACTTTCAAGATCGTTCAGATCACGTGTTCATATCATTTAGATCCGCTTTCAAGCACCCAGATAGCGATTTCGAGCACCCAAATCGTGCTTTCGAGCGCTTATATCACTGATCTCAAGTTCTCAGATCAAACTTCACTATTTCTGATCAAATTTCTTGTGTTCTTAGATCAAGCTTCGCACTTTCTGATCAAACTCTTTGTGTTATATGCTTTTTGATCAAACTCCTTGTGCTCTCATATCGCAAAGAGCTCTCAAGCTTTCAGATTGCAAAGAGCTCTTGAGTTCTTAGATCAAAGTTTCTTACACTCATATCGAGCTCCTTATACTCTCTAATCGAGCTTATAACTCGCTCATTTGCTTGAGATTGCATGCTGTAGATCGTTTAGATCGCACGCCTGAAGCTCTCAAGTCGAGTCCTTATCAGATGGCGATCAGCTCCTAGCTCTCAAATCACGATAAGCTCTCAGCTCTGAGATTGCGAACAACCTCATGTTGTGTTCTCAACTCTCATATCGCGACCAGTTCTCAGGTCGTGACTAGCTGCCAGCATCAGAAAAAACGCGTAGAAAACTCAAAACAGTCCTGAAACATGCTGAAATTGTGGATTTTGGCCAGAAAATGGCCCTAATTAGGTACCCCCCATTTCCATGATGTAGAGCTCAAAACAAGCTTTGCGTGGATATCTAACAGGCTCCAAAACTCCTTCCGGATCAAAAGTTATGGTTGCTTTAAGTTGGCTTGTCCGTTTAAGGCCTCTAAGCTGTGCGTTTGGGCTTCTGACGTCAGCTCTCTCCAGGAATTCATCTACTGGACATTTTATGTTAGTTATCAGATCGCGCTTAGCTTCGGATAGCTCCAAGCTCTCAGATCACAGCCTTAGCTCTTAACACCCGATTATGCCAGGCATAGTTCGAGCTTTTCCGTTTGAGACTGTAGCCTATAATTCGACAGCCATTTAAATCTAAGACATGAGTTTTTAAAGTGTAATTATGCACTCCAAAAACCCCCCCGGGGGGGGGGGGGGGGGGGGGGATTGGGTGTTTCTGTTAAAAATACACATTAATGCCAGTACCACCAATCAAAGTTCAACAAACACTTAAAGATAAGGTGGTATTAGTTGTCAAAAACCCAAACCGTCTCCAAGAGATATTTTATATCAATCTTATCTCATTTTAAGATAAAGATTAAAGAGTGATCCTCATGTGTCAAGACAATTTGCAAAAGCACTTATTACATTGACCTCAAATGTGTAAATGTGCATCTCTCTTCATGAAAAATTGGTTGGCTGAGCATATGAGAGCTAGACAAACATTTGAGCTTTATTATTTTTTCTCTGTAAACAAAGTGTTTCTTCATTTTTGTACGTCTTATAGGCAATATCAGAAAAATAGTCAGAAAATAATAAAATAATAGTGGATATAGGGTTCAGTTTAAGCATTCAAGCCACTATAAAAACCTTTCTTGTCAATCTTTTATTGATGTTTCATCAAACGTATATAATCTCAGCACCATAAACTTTTCTCATGAATCATTCACGTGTAATTTCTAAGAATTGTTTAACACTTTACACATGCGAATCGTTGGTGTCAAAATCATGCATCCACAAACTGCAAGAAAAAAATTTGTATTTGGGATAGTCTTTTACATTAAATATTTTCCCTGAATTTCGTTTAACATAAAGTCTAATACACAATCGGATTTGGATGAAGACATTTCTTATGATATAATTCTCTAATTGCCTTGATAACTTGAAGAATTATCAATGGTATTAATACTGATGGTGAAGGCTTAGTCGAAAGGTAATTATCATTCAATAAATAAATTATATATTTTCTTTATTAATTAATTAATAATATGTCATGTTCTTGACTCAGGATACTTTACTAGATGAGGATTTGGTTAGGGATTTGACAAATTTTACGGCGTAGATTAATCACTGATTAAAAAAAAAATAAAAATAGATTAATTAGTTAAAGGTGACTCTTTAATCTTGCAGTCAAAATAATGATATATGTTAGTGGTGAAGAAGATAAAAGTAATCAAATCATGTGAGGGAATGGTCCACCATTTGTGCATTATTGACTTATTATACATTATCATCAATGTTAAAAATATTTCTCATGTTTTCAATGTTCTCTTCCTTTTCTTTTTTGTTATCATGCTTTTGAAAATCTTGTATTAAAACAAAGTTTAGATTTTTATTTTTCAGTGTTCTAAAAACCGGACTGGACCGGTTGGTCAAACTGGTCGGATTGGGAACCAGTAGCCTCTTTGGTCCGGTTCAGGTTTTAGGGGGGATTTTGTTGTATTTTAAACCTGTAGGGGCTAATTTGTTATTTTCTAAGGGTGTTTTTGTAGTATTTCAAAATCTTAGAGACTAGTTTGTTTTGGACATTTTTTGAAATATATTAAATTTTTAGAGACTAATTTACAATTTTTAGGGGCATTTTGCAATATATTAAAATTTAAGGGACTAATTAAATTAAAAAAAATTGATTGCTGACAACACCAATCTGCCGACCAGTCAGACCAGTCAGACCATGAACTGGGTCCTTGACCGGGTTAAGACCCAATCCGGTTCTCAGAACATTGATGTTTTTTTATCTATAATTTCCCTTCTATCTTTTACATCTTTTACATTTTTCTAGCATAATTTTTTAACTTCAAACTGTTGATACAAGTTTTTTTATATATAAATCCATTACAAGGTAAATTTTAAATTATTGAATTATAATGAATAAATAGTTAATTATAAATGAATATCACAAATTCAATTTGAAATAACTTGAAAATATTATCTGAAAAGACTGAAATTGGTCAAGAGATCTTCGAACTTCTGGGCCAAAAACGAAGCCCATAAGCCCATGAAAGTGATTTTAAGTGGGCTACAATCAAGAAACCACAGCCCAATAAAATAAAAACCTAAAATTGAACCCAGCCAAGCCCGGCCCATGCTTCAGCCCGGTTGATATATAAGCCTAAACCTCACTCTCATTTTTAGGGTTTCATTCATATCCACACACTCAGATCGGAGCAAGAGAGAGCCGCCGCTGCACATTCACACACACACGACAAAGCAATGGGTAAGCAACAAACTCATAGCACTTTGAGGGATTAATTCCGTTTTTGTTTTATGTATTTCTGAAAACATGTGTTTTTGTTTTTGTGAAAAATGAATACAGCTCGGATCAAGGTGCATGAGCTTAGGCAGAAATCAAAGGCAGACCTCTTGAACCAGTTGAAAGAACTCAAGGCCGAGCTCGCCCTCCTTCGCGTCGCTAAAGTCACCGGCGGTGCTCCTAACAAGCTCTCCAAGATGTAATTTTCTTTTCCGCTCTCGTTGAAACTTTAATACATTTGTCTATTGATAGGTTAAGTTGTGTATTGTATCATTCTGAGATAGGGGCACTGTTTTGTTGTCTTGTTAGGAATGTATATAGGTTGAAATTTAAAGTGAAATCTTGTTATTGATATTTAACTAAATTAACTAAATAATTAACATTGAAGGTTGATATCTTTTCAGAAAGTAATGAAAAATATTTCGAAAATGGTTGTTACATGGTAATGTTATGTTGAATGATGTGTCTCTTAAAAATTGTGATGTGGTGTTTCTTCTTTTAATGTGTATTTGATGTAAATAATTCTAAGTTTGCTTTTATCACTTTTTGTTTGTTTGTTTGTTTGTGTTTGATTGGATTTGACTTGTTCTGGATGCAGCAAGGTGGTGAGGTTGTCAATTGCACAGGTTTTGACAGTTATTTCACAGAAGCAGAAGGCTGCATTAAGGGAGGCTTACAAAAACAAGAAGCTTTTGCCTCTTGATCTGCGTCCCAAGAAGACCAGGGCAATCAGGAGAAGGCTTACAAAGCACCAGGTATTTCTACCCTTATTTTGTGGTTTTGTTGTATTTACAAGTTTTTCTGTTGAATGTGTTAGATTCCTTGGTTGGATTCTGATTTATGATTTAATGCTTTGCAATGGGCACATGCAATGCTGAAACTCCTTGGTTTATAAATGATTTTTCTTGGGTTTTTGTTTCAGAGCTGCTATGTTGTAATGAGATGTTTTGAACTTTCTTGCTACCAAAGTTGCATCTGTTTTGGTTTTACGTTTATGTCAGTCAATGGATTCCTGTATTTATTCTTTTCTTGATGACATATAAACTTGCAACTGTATTATACAAATATATGTGGCCTAGTTTTGGATCTATGTATTTATGGGGATGGAAACACAAATTATTTGTTTTGACTGTAGGATTCCCTTGTTAATATGTTGTGTTCCAACAATATTTTGGGTGATGTGCAGTATGTTGTGCACTTCCCTTTTTTGTTTGTTTGTGTTTTGACGAGGTATTCAACATAATATCTACTCAATTGAATAATGGTTTAGTATTTTAAAGTTCCTTTCTATGAGAAATACATTTTTCAGTTTGGGGGAGTTTATCTCCAATTATATTTGTTTTCCATGTGTTATATTGCGGCATTTGATATTTTGACTTAAGGATAAGAGAAGCATTCTTTGATATCTTATCTGTTGAAGCTTCTTTGTTTAATGTCATTTAGGGTAATTATCTCTAAATATGGGGTTTCTGTTTTGTTTGCCAGACATCACTGAAGACAGAGCGGGAGAAGAAGCGGGAGATGTACTTCCCTATGAGGAAGTATGCCATTAAGGTGTAAGTTAGGATCTTTTATAGGACATCTTGGTATCATGCAGTTATGGACCCATTTGTTTGACAAATTTTGACTCGTTACTTTTTAATGTTATTTTTGCAAATTTGAGTTTGTGGATCAGTTTTATGTGTGTAAGCTGGAAGGGTGCATAGCACTCAAACCAGGGTGGTAGTTTCTGATGGAATAGCAATTACGAGAAAGACTCTATTCTTGTGCTATTATTCAATGCTTTTTTTTTCTGGTAAAGTTTCATTAGTTTTTGTTCTCCATTGAAGAATGCTATGCATGTCCACCGTTATTCATCCTAAACAGTTTTCCACTGCAATTTGATTGTTCATACACCCTTGATCGAATCAAGTGATGAATTCGACTGTTGAATCATGAACTGATGTTCCAATTTTCTCACTATTGTTGAAACTGACCTGTCAATTTCCTCGTATTGTTAAAAACTAGGTACTTTTAGATGGTTCTTGCATCTCTTTTTATCTATAAGAACCAAGGCTTTCTCAAGCTTTTTCCCAGAGTTTTCATCTGGAGAAAGAACATGTAAATAAATCATAATACCTCTGTTTTAAAACCCGGATTGGCCAGTCGAACCGGTTTGATCGAGAGTTGGCATCAACACTGGTCCGGAAACCTTCTAAACCCACTTTTAACAATTAACTTGGAATGAACTAGATTTGGATCGGTTGAATAGTGACAAACCGTGGATTCAATCGGATCGGTGGCACAACAGGGTCACCATAAATCCTTAAAACAATTTCCCTTTTTTTAATTTTGGTACTCCATCTTCAATTTTTATCATAATTTAAATGTCCGTTAAACATATCACAACATTTTATAGTTTCAAAATTTAAATTCATGGCATTTTGGATGGAAAAGAATGATTATAGCAAATACCAAACAGTCCAACCAACAAATTGCAACCCAGTCAATATTTCTGAGAAAACCTTAGGTAAAGATGTCGAAAAGCCAACAAGGTGCGTAGGTAGCCAACTAGCTATTGTAGATCCAAAAAAAAAAATTGCAAGGGAGAGAAGAAACAAGACGGCAGAAGAAGAGAAAAAAAAATGGAAAAAAGGAAATCCAACAGCCATGAAGCCTTCACCGTGGTGGATAGATCCAACAGCCATGAAGCCTTCACTGTGGTGGATAGATCCAACAGCCACGAAGCCTTCACCGTAGCGGAGTAGCCACGAAATCTACATCATGGCGGAGCAACGAGGAAGCCTACACCGTTGAGGTCTAAACGATAGCCCTGGTAGATCGAAAAAAGAAGCAAGGGACAGAAGAAAGGGAGACGGCATAAGAAGAGAGAAAGAAATGGGAAAAATGAATAAAAGTAAGGAATTTAGGGTTTTCTTTATAAGTTTTGAAAAGTCAATAATACCCTCTTTGAAACGGCGTCGTTTTGCTTTTTAACTGACATCATTATAATAACGTCACCAGTCCAACCGGTTGGACTGATCAACCCGGGACCTAGGCCCTTGACCGGGTCAAGGCTCGGGTCGGGTTTTAAAACAGTGCATAATATCATATAAGTTACGCATATAGATATAATCACCCATCATCAATGAATACTAAGCCATATAATTGTGTTTTGGGTTTGTTATTCTCATATGTTGCTTATATGAAAGCTACATATTGCTTATACAAAACCACTTTCCATTGACGTATCCTCTGGTCTTGACATGTTCAAAATTTGGTTATATTCCATTATTCATTTGTTTGTTATTTGGTGAATTATAAAAATAATAAAATGAATATAATTTTTTTTATTTAATATTTGATGGGTAAATGGTATTACATAAGCCACATTGAAGCATTCTTGGTTACCAAATCTAAGGTCATAATCAATAGCTATGATTGAGAATGAGGCTTTCTTTTTTGTTATTACTCGCAATAATTTAATTATTATTTTTTTATTTCAACCAATATAAAGTCTCCAAAAAGACCCGGAAAAAGCTATTTAAAATATGAAAAACATCTTAGGGTCTATTTGTTTTATTATTTTGGAAGGATTTTGGGAATAATATTAGGTAGTTGAATAAGAGAGTATTACGAGATAAAATTTAAAAATTTGTATAAAACCCCATAGGTTTGCTAATTTAACTAAACACCCTAATATATAAAATTTTTATAAAATAACAAAAATACCCCCACCACCCGCAGTGCCAGATTTCGGTCACCACTGTCGGAATCTGGCCAGAAAATTGCGTTATGACATAGACCGGTCGGATCTGGCGGGTGGGGCGTTGATATGGCATTTTCCAGCTAGATCCACCATAAATCTGACCGGAAAAATCCAAATCTACGGCTAGATCTGCTGGAATTTGGCCAGAAAATTGCGTTACGAAATAGACCGATCAGATCTGGTAGATAGGGGCGTCGATATGGCCTTTTTCAGCTAGATCTACCACGAATCTGGTAAAAAAAATCTAGATCTACGGCTAGATCTGGCCGTCGACGACCGCAAAAGTCCATCTTTGGCCGTCGTTAATCGTTAACAACGACCATTTCTTTGGCCGTCACTGACGGCCAAATCTGATGTTCGTGGTGTAGGCCATTGTGACAGATTCTGGCTAGGCAAGTATGAGTTTAAGGGGTATTTTTGTTAATTTTTAAACTTTTTTCTGAGAGTATTTAATGAAATTAATAAACTTAAAGGGTCTAAAAGTAATTAAAAAAATATACTAATATTTTTCCAATAATGTGCTAATTGTCAAACAATATTTGGGGAATATGGGTAGAAATAATGTACCAAACGAACCACTATATTTCCGTAAACAAGAATAGTCCCGATTAAATGTATCATCTGGGTGCTGTTACATTCATGAAGAATTGGCTTTGGTAATGCATGGTCCATTAAAATGAAATTTCAAGTCTTCAAGAAGCTATGGCTTTTACCAGATTTAATCTAATCTAATCTAATCTAATCTAATCATCAAAAGAGTTGAATACAAAAGGTATACTTCTCAACAACCCCCCCAATCCTTATTTTCTGTTGAAAATTACAAGTCTATTCCTATTCCAAGCCACGTTTTTATGGTGCTTATTTACATAATAATTATATCTTCATCTAAATCTTACTTTTCTAACCCTAGTTTAGGGTAGATAGACTCATAGACTTACATAATTCAATTCATATCTTTCCTTTTTCTCACTTAAGTACCCATGACGGCATAATAGATTCGTAAGCAAATTAAATCACTACTAAATCATTTATTGGTGTATTCAAAATATTTGGGCTGCCAGACTGGAGATCCTGGTCAGTCTTTGTATCAATTGACTTTGTTTCTAGATCTTTATACTCTTTGACTTCCTTTATAAAATCCTTTTTTTAACCCATCTAACAAAATGTCTATTTTATTTGCTTCAATTGAAGAAACATAAGCCTTATAACATTGAGGAGTTATTTTATGATGGGTTTTATTCATACTATAAATTGAACAATAGATTAGAAACACAAATTTACAAGATAATAATAACTCAATCCATGTTAACTTCGATTGAAGCAAATGGCAATAATACTTGTGTCTATATTGGCTTAGACATAAAACTAGACCAAATTATTCAATTTTGCCTGACCCTAAATTTAAGGAGGAAAAATATTTTTGAATACCCTATATTTGATAATATCTTTTATATTTTTTAAGATATATTTACTAACTATTTCTTTATAAAGTATTGTAAACTCTATGAAATAGTGTATAAGCACTTTAATTTTTCCCGATCATCACTAACCAAAACCCCTCAAACCTTACTCCCGCCAACCTTGTCAATTATCAACAATCAAGCGATTTGTGGAATGCGCAGCCGCCTTTCTCAAGTCAAATTCCTATCACCATCAAAAAACTTACCAACAACCAAGACCAAGTTTGTTCTCCATTCACCAGTCGCCACCGAATCGGAAAATATATTATGGGTAGTAAATGGAATATAAAGTTCGGATAGTAAATTGGTATTTTGAAATTTTTTTTTTTTTTGGGGGGGGGGGGGGGGGGGGGGAAGTGTCATTGAGACAAACCTTGGGTAGGAAAGAGTCGTTTACTCATATAAAGTATTGGAAACTCTACGAAATACTGAAATTATGGGTGAAGTTCAGTGAAGAATTTAAAGAAATTTAAATGTTTTTATTTTATTAATCATCTAGAAGCTTAAATATATATAAAAACATTAACTAAAAAAAACCCAATTGTAAATGAATTAAAGTGTTGCATTTTCCATAATTTTGGTCATGCTCAATTGGATTATCTGGCTTTCTAGATGAATTCTAGCTTTTTCTACCAATCAATTTTCTACATGTTTATTGGAATTTAAATAATATCCTATTAATTGTCAATCAGTTACTGTCTCACTTAATTAGTAAACAAAATTAAACGAGAAACACTTAATTAAATGTATATTTGACAATTTCTCATCCTGTCATCAATAATGTTGAAAACAGAACTAATATATTAATTATTCATATTGATTTGGTCAAGGGGATAAACTCTGATAAGTAATTATCATCCCAAATTATGAGAATTGTGCATGAAAAACGAAAATACCTTCGACATGTTTATCTGAAAACACGAAAAAAATAAGTGAAAATACGAAATTTTACCATCTACTCAACCTATAAGAATTCATAATTAAGCTTTTATACAATGGTTTTGGCACAAAAATTGTTTTGTTGGTATTAAATTACCAGTGGCGTTCAAGTTAATTGAATGAAGAAAAGGTTAATTAATATGGCTCCAAGTCTATGATGAAAAAGACACCGAAATTCAACTGAACTTTCGTAACTATTACGTGGGTAATTCGAAGTTGTTGGTGGGTGTGGATGAAAGTCCTGTGCGGCAAGACTTGGAAAGAGAGAGGTTGAAGAAGATGGGTTAAAAGTATGTGACATTCAATTTACGGTGTTTGCGGAGACTCTATTTAGTTTCAAAAGACATTTCTTTCCCCCTTTTCTTTCCAAGTTATTTCTAAATTGACCTGCCCACCAATTGTAAAATCAACATTGAGATATGAAGAATAAGTGATCAAAAGAAAAAGACTTTGATAAAAATTTGAAGAACATAAAACAACTTTATGTTATTAGCGCATTTCCAAAGTATTTTTTATATGATTCAAATTTTTTATTATAAAGAGTCTATTTATAAAAATAAGAGTCCAATTGACTTTTTATCTTTAAAATATAAATTAGAGAGTGAGTTTAACTCTCCACATTTAGAGAGTCAAATTTCACTCTCTATCCTAATTTTAATTAATAAACTATAAATTCTTATGTATTTTATTTATTAATTCTCTCTTCTATTAAGTTCCTTTCTTAAAAATAAAAAACATTTTCATTAAAGTTAAAAAGTCTATTGGATTTGAATAAAAATTGTGTTTTTTATATTTAAAAATTAATGAAGATGCTCTTTATTTATATGAAAGATGCTATTTAAAATAGAAAGCACAATTAGAGACTCTTTACAAATTTTTTATTCAAATCCAATGGACTCTTTAAATTTTAGGAGAAAGAATATGTTTTTTTTCAAGAAGAAAACTTAATAAGAAAGATAAATTATAAATAAAATGCATAAAAATTTGTAATTTATTATTTAAAATTAGGATAGAGAGTATAATTTGACTCTCTAAATATGGAGAGTCAAACTCACTCTTTAATTTATATTTAAAGAATAAAGAGTGTGACTCTTATTTCTATAGATTGGATCATATCAAAATTTATTCCGAGATGCCCTTAATTCTTTGAACAGCTCAGACTCTCAAGTCTCGACTATCATACAACCACTTGTATGAAGTTTTGTGGATGGTTCTTGGTCAATGATTCTTGCTCTACCAACTCAAGTAAAACTCCCCGATTTTTGGCCTAAAAATTAAAATAAGAAAATAAGTAAATCCACCTCCCTCAATTGAGAACATTGCGGCTCTCTGGTGTCTATATATATCCTGCAAAACTCATTCTCAGAAAGTAACTTAAAACAAGTAGTGCAGAGAGTGATTCAGTAATGCCTGGAAACTTAATGTCGACTCTCTTCTTCTCATCTTCTAAGACCCTTTCTTCTGTTTCTTCATTTACGAGTTCTTATACTCATACGCCACCTTCACCTATACACACATTCTCTAAATCAATGATGGAAGAGAAAATAGAAAATGCAGAACCAATCATCACCAGATGGAATCTAAACTCTTCCTCATACACCAAAGCTATCTCAGTTTTTAGTCATAACAGAAAAGAGGCTAAAGAGCTTTTAAAAAGTGTCAAAGACTTGCGTCAAGCCATGCACTTTTTGATTTCTGAAATTTCGCCTTCTGATAAGCTTGTTCTTGCTCAGACTCTCATGCAAATTGCCATGAAAAGGCTGGAACATGAGTTTTATTTGATATTGTCCAAACAACGTGATCAACTTGATCCCGAATCAGTTTCAGGTCAATCCTCTGATGAGTCGAGAAATTTTGATGATGAGGAGGAAGCACCTGATGATGAAGATGAGTTGAAAAGAGCTCGCGAGACAATAACTGAGGTGGAGACTCTCTCTCAGCTTGCAATGTTTGACCTGAAGGCAATAGCTGATTGTATGATCAGTTCAGGTTATGGCAAGGAGTGTATAAAGATATACAAACTGATCAGGAAATCGATAGTCGATGAAGGACTGTATCAACTTGGAATCGAACAGTTCAAGGCTTCTCGAATTCAGAAATTGAATTGGGAGGCGCTTGAACATATGATGAAGAACTGGCTGACTGCAGTGAAGATTGCAGTGAAAACACTCTTCAGTGGAGAAAAAGCTCTCTGCGATCACGTGTTTTCAGCGTCTGATTCAATCAGAGAGTCTTGCTTCTGTCATATAACAGAAGAAGGAGCTATCAATCTGTTCAGATTTCCAGAAATCATTGCAAAGAGCAAGAAATCACAAGAAAGAATTTTCCGGCAAATGGAACTTCATGAAGCACTCACTGATCTCTGGCCGGAAATAGAATCAATATTCAACTCTGATTCCACCTCAGCTATAAAATTGCAAGCTCTTTCATCACAACAGAAGCTTGGTGACTCAATTCGAACTATTTTATCAGACTTTGAGTCAAGAATTCAGAAAGACTCGTCGAAAACTCCACCTATTGGTGGTGGAATTCACCCACTCACTCAATCAGCGATGAGTTTCATATGTTCACTGGGAGATTACAGTGGAGTTCTTTCTGATATTGTTGCTGAATATCCTCCCGGAAATTCAACAACTACAGAATCTTGCATTGGGAGTTTGACCTCCAACCACGATTCAGCATCTCCAGCGTCAGTTCACCTAGCCTGGCTCATACTTGTTCTTTTATGCAAGCTTGACAGCAAAGCTGAACCACACCGAAAAGATGTGGCTTTGTCATATCTCTTCCTAGCCAACAATCTTAACTTCATCATTGAAAAAGTTCGGACATCTAACCTGAAGAACCTTCTAGGTGATGATTGGATGAGTATGCACACCAAGAAGCTTAAACAGTATGCTTTAAACTATGAAACTGTGGCGTGGACCAAGGTCTTCTCATCTTTGCCAGAAAAAAGTTCCTCAGCAATGTCGCCTGAAGAGGCAAAGGAATGTTTTAGGAGGTTCAATGCAGCTTTTGAAGAAGCATATATGAAACAGACATCATGGATTGTACCAGATGGGAAGTTAAGAGATGAATTAAAGGTTTCGATAGCAAAGAAACTTGTACCAGCATACAGAGAATTCTTTGATGCACATGTGATGATGTTATATGGGGAAAGACATCTGGAAGTGTTGGTGAGATTTGGACCTGATGATTTGGGAAATTATTTATCAGATCTGTTTCATGGTACTCCCATCTTAGTTAGTTCTTCATCATCTTCATCATGCAGCTCATCGCCAAGATGCATACTCCATTAAAGATACAAACATGTACATGATTAGAAAAGGCAACGTCTCAATGCCCAACATAACTACTGTTATAATTTATGCTGTTCCTTCTCTAATGGTGCTTTCAGTTTTTTCATCAGATTAAAAATATGTACTAGAAAATAATTGTGCAGAAATAAAATACTTTACACTCTTACACTTCTGTTTCTTCATGGCTGCATATTTTTATATTCTAGTCTTAAAACTGATGTTACAATCAAACTGAACTTTAGCAAACTTTGGTTCAGAATGATTGAAAGTGAAAAAGCATACAAGGTTTCACTTTCCTCTCTCTATCTTTCCAAGAGTTATTAGTACTATACATTAACCATGTATAATTTCCGGTAAGGATTAGTTAGAAATCAACAAATTTGTTAATACACCCATCAAAGGAGTCAACCCCAAAGTATGCCAATAGTCTCAAGTAAACTGACCAGTTTTGAAACAATATTTAATACATAGTTACATACACTAAATTGATTATATTCTGGATAATGGATTTTTGTGATTAAAACTTTCCATAATCGAATGAAAAGAAAATTCCCAAAGGAAAATTAAAACAAGAAGGTATGCTCGTAAATGGCACCATACATTCAAGATGCATGCACAAAGAAGACATTGAAAAGCTATGTAGCTACCATCAGGTCTGCTGGTCGAGCAATGGATTGCCAACCCGTACAAATTTTGAGGACTTCCTTTAAAGAATCTGAGGGTGCTTCCATTGTCCACATCGGATAATATTCACTTGGGTGGAACACATGTTCATCCCCCACTCCGGTCAATAAGCAAGCTAGTGCTCCATTCAGAAACAAGTCTCCTTCAGATCTTATTACACCAGACTTTGCTTCCGGCTTGTCTGCTGCCTACAAATACATCCAATAGCAGCATGTTAAACAAGTGCCAGCAGATAAAACTGTTCTTTCAACAGGAGATACAATGCAATACAAACAGCTCATATTGTTAAAGGAAGGAACTTTAAAAAGAGGTACAAACTATAGTTAATTATAATGTAACATGATTCTAATTTACCCATAAGGAGTACTAATAAAAGGGTTCAACCACATATTTTAGTATATACCAGAAGTCATGATTATACTGATATGCAGAAGACAGTACTGATTTCTTTCTGACACATAATTGGTAAAGAATGATGGAACCAGAGAATAACTCGACACATTCAGCATGCAAAGACCACAGCAAGAATAAGACCCCTTGCAAGTGATGGTGCATCCCGTGTGTAAGTATGGTAACGTATCTGAAGTTTTTCATACTCTGAGAATGCATCCCTCATAGATTACTATTCCTGGCAACTGGCGCTTCCCATTCAGAAGAAAAGTTAAAGGTTTCCCTCATTTATTCACCAAAATGTCAAATTATTTCAAGCCCAACTATCAAAGCAGTAGAGAACTAAAAGAGAGCTCTTTGATTGTTACCTAATTGAAAGAAAAGCCACCAAGCCTTTTGTATATGGAGAGTAGACCTAAGGCATTGATTCTCCTAGTTCATGCAATTACAATGTCTGTAAGGTTGACAGAGTGCATACAACAGACTAAATAGATTTTCTTATGGATGGCAAGTGGCTTACTGACAACCTGTTAGATTCCACTCTCAAATAGTTTGGTGGACTATGGTTAAAGATTTCTAAAATAAAAACATTCCAGTTTGAAAGGTAACCACACTTGATCGATATTGACACACTTTAGCTCTTTTATCATATCCCAATTTGACAGCAAGGTTCAAACTCAGAACAAGCAGCTAACTCATGCAGCATACCCATAGAAAGAACTTGTGGCTTGCTTTTACATACATACTGCAGATGATATTATTGGTATTACAGTTAGCACATATAAATCCGACTTACCAGACCATCTGCTCCTAAAATGCATCAGTAAGTGTTCCATAAGACAAAATAAATTTATCTTCCATTAAAACAAGGAGTCATTGTGCAATTAAGAGCCATGCTTATTAATCGCACACATTTAGACAGTTAATTTACCTGAACTTTTATGGGCATATGGTAGATCAGATGTGATGGTCATAATATATGTTCAATTGGAACAACATTAACTTAACTTTGTTTTATGGATTATGCTTTAACTGGTAAAGGACAACATGGTCTAATAAGTCAGATTAATTCGTTCTGGTCATTACTCACAAACTATTAAGAAATATTATGTTAAAAAAACTCTTTTCCAAGCTGACTGAAGGTATCTTATTACTCTATACGTTAGCTAATGGAACTTCAACAATAAATAGATTGCCACTTTTACCTTCTCTGTATAGTATTCAAAGGTCTTTTTCTTCTTTCCTGCTTCATATATGTTGCACTGGGAGTATATCTGATAAAAACAAAAATGACATAAAATGTAATAACTACAATATAATCAAGATAAAGTTAAGAGGATAATAGCATTCCACATGGTTAACTAAAAGATGCTTAAACTGAAAAATGAACCATCATTTACCTGGGACTCTACACTTGCACAAACTGCATAAATGCCCCAATTTCTGGTGTAATTATTGTACAGATGAACCTTCCCAAATCTAAGGCGAGGATGTCTTTGCCTTGTCCCATCAAAAAAACAATGGTGAATGGTCACTCGAATGCATCTATCTTCAACATGAGAGGGGTCTGCTCCAATAAGCATTGTCTTATCATGACGAGTAAAATAACATCTGGTGCACCAAAATTAAAACAAGTAGATCAGAAACCAGCATTAATCACAACATTTTAGGTCTTATCATCCAATGAGCAAGAACCCACCTAGAAACTGTAATGTCTGTGCTTTGTCTCGTGATATCTATGAGCCCATCATCAAAATCACTAAGGCTACATCGATCTATCCATATGTGTCTAGATTTCGGCTTTATTTGAATGCCATCAACATCATGTCCTCTACCACCTTCAAACTCAAGATTACATACAATTATATGTTCACATTCCTTCAATCTCAACCCTTTCCCTGAAAGCTTAACCCTTTGGCCCCGCCCATCAATCGTCTTATAAGACGATACATTCAAGTACGACAAAAGATGAATTGTACCCGAAACTTCAAAAACAATCCACAATGGTTCTTTTCTCCGGCATCCCTCACGAAGCGATCCTGGACCATCATCTATAACAGACACATAAAATCTCATAATCAAATTCTTAACTACAAAGAACTTGATAGAAGCAATGAAAAAGTTGAAAAACACTCTCTTCCAAGTATCAAAAAGTAAATATTGACCTAAAGTGAGGTATCATATACAGATTCCATCAAATTATGTTGCAATATAGCATCAAAAAAATTCTGAATTCAGCCCATTTAACAAATCCGCATAATATTTTTAAACTGTTTAATACAGATTATGTTTAAAAGTATCTTAAAAATTAATAAACTTTTGGCACCAATCTTTCAAGAAAAGAAAAATAAAAATCCAGATAAAAAATCATAATGAGACAATTCATAATTCAATAATGAAAATCGTAATTCGAATCCTAACAATTCCATCTAAAAAACAAAATAATTCTGCAAAATTAAGGTATTGAGAATTAGAGAGAGAAAGGAGAACCAGATAAACTGGTGACGAAGTAGAGCGGGCCGTGGAGCCCGCCAATGGCGAATCTGCCAAAACCCTCGGCCCGACCCGCCAATGCTCTCAGACTGTTCTCCACGTCAGCGTACGGAAGCGAACCCATTTTCTTTGCTAATTTGTTCTTGTTCGAGAGTCGAGAGCTGAGAAGACAAAATCTCGTCTGTTTGTTTTGTTCGGGTTCACAAATGAAACTGTTAAAACCGTTAAAGCGTTCCGACCGAACACGTCAGCACTTTTTTTTTGGGAATTTTTTTCTTAAATTTAAATAAAATTAGTATACAAACTAACTGTACAATCTTGAAAATTATTATCAATAAACTCACTAATATTTATCGAATAATTTTCGAAATTATAAAGATAATTTGTGATATTTCCACTAAAACAAATTGCCTTATGCATTAATTATTATCACATTTATTTCTCAGTCACAATAATTTAGAACCTCAACCACCACTATAAAATGACATTCTTTGCAAGATATTATTAACTAATACAATTATTATTTGGGTCCCTAAAGAGTCTAATATATAAGAATTAAAGATCCTTGAATGGAGGCGGCATTATTCTTGAGTTGAGTTTAATGAAAATGTCAGAAAGGCAATGATATAATAATCTTATTTAAAGATAAATTTTTGATAATTAATCTTTGTAAAATTATAATAATAAATGTCAGTAATTAATCCTAATTTTCCCTTATTTTCTTTTAAAAAGTCTTCCAACGGAGATAAAATTTATACCATCCATGTAATAATACATCAAGCAAAAAAAATACAATATCGAATAACGAAGAGAGTTTATATAAATTCCAAAAGGTTAGCCTAGTGGTCAAGAAGTTTTACTCATTTCATCAACTTTTTAGGTTCAAAGATTAAACCACCTTAGGACTACTTACAACGTTCGTTATTTATCTTAAACATTGACTTATAAGATGTTCAATAAGCTTTAGAGATTAGTTGAAGTATGTGCAAACGACTCAAACACCTTAATTATCCAAAAAAAAAGTCTCTCTCTCTCTCTCTCTCTCTCTCTATATATATATATATATATATTAATGATATTTTACAATTTCTTTTGATATATATATATATATATATAAGTGTAAAATATCATTAAATGGTAAGGTGACTGATTTATTTACAAAGTGTATGAGAAAGTAATTGAAAGTGAAGCAAACACCCAATATATATATAAAATCATGAGGCATAGGCTATATGATTTGTCATTTTAAGAGGCTAGAATTCCTTCATTTTGACACGTCTACAGATTGCCCGATACATGGTTGGATTTAATTGGTGATGATGTGGATTGTTTACATTTGGTTGGATTTTATTGGTGATGATGTGGCATAAATTGATGAGTTGTATTTTATGGTAGACGTGGCTTTGGGGGTGTTTGTCTGAGCTTATGAAAATTAGCTTATAAGCAACAATTACTTATAAGCAAAAATTAACTTATAAGCATTTGAAATTTTAAGCAATTACGTGTTTGGTTAAAGTACTTATAAGTGACTGATAAGTAATTGACGTGTTTGGTAAAATGTGGCTTATAAGTATATTTTATTATAAAA